TTTTTGGATGGAATGTACTATAAATATCAGTTAAGTCCATCTTGTTTATTGTATCATTTAAAGCTTGTGTTTCCTTATATATTTTCATTTGGATGATCCATCCACTGGTGAAAGTGGAGTGTTAAAGTTCCCTACTATAATTGTGTTAACTGTCGATTTTCCCTTTTTATGGCTGTTAGCATTTGCCTTATGTATTGAGGTGTTCCTACGTTGCATGTATAAATATTTACAATTGATATATTTTCTTCTTGGATTGATCCCTTGATCATTATGTAGTGTCCTTCTTTTTCTCTTGTAATAGTCCTTTTTTAAAGTCTATTTTGTCTGATATGAGAATTGCTACTCCAGCTTTCTTTTGATTTCCATTTGCATGGAATATCTTTTTCCGTCCTCTCACTTTCAGTCTGTATGTATCCCTAGGTCTGAAGTGGGTCTCTTGTAGACAGCATATATTCGGGTCTTGTTTTTGTATCCATTAAGCCAGTCTGTGTCTTTTGGTTGGATCATTTAATCCATTTACTTTTAATGTAGTTATTGATATATATGTTCCTTACCATTTTCTTAATTGTTTTGGGTTTGCTATTGTAGGTCTTTTCCTTCTCTTGTGTTTCCTGCCTAGAGAAGTTGCTTTAGCATTTGTTGTAAAGCTGGTTTGATGGTGCTGAATTCTCTTAGCTTTTGCTTGTCTGGAAAGGTTTTAATTTCTCCATCGAATCTGAATGAGATCCTTGCTGGGTAGAGTAATCTTGGTTGTAGGTTTTTCCCTTTCATCAGTTTAAATATGTCCTACCACTCCCTTCTGGCTTGCAGAGTTTCTGCTGAAAGGTCAGCTGTTAACGTTATGGGGATTCCCTTGTATGTTGTTTGTTGATTTTTCCCTTGCTGCTTTTAATACTTTGTATTTAATTTTTGATAGCTTGATTAATATGTGTCTTGGCGTGTGTCTCCTTGGATATATTCTGTATGGGACTGTGTGCTTCCTGGACTTGATTGACTATTTCCTTTCCCATATTAGGGAAGTTTTCACCTATAACCTCTTCACCTATTTTCTCAGTCACTTTTTTTTTTCTCTTCTTCTTCTGGGACCCCTAGAATTCATATGTTGGTGCGTTTAATGTTGTCCCAGAGGTTTCTGAGACTGTCCTCAATTCTTTTCATTCTTTTTTCTTTATTCTGCTCTGTGGTAGTTATTTCCACTATTTTATCTTACAGGCCACTTATCCGTTCTTCTGCCTCAGTTATTCTGCTATTGATTCCTTTTAGAGAATTTTAAATTTCATTTATTCTCTTGTTCTTCATTGTTCGTTTGCTCTTTAGTTTTTCTAGGTCCTTGTTAAACATTTTTTGTGTTTTCTCCATTCTGTTTCCAAGATTTTGGATCATCTTTACTATCATTACTCTGAATTCTTTTGCCGGTAGACTGCCTATTTCCTCTTCATTTTTTTGGTCTGGTGGGTTTTTATCTTGCTCCTTCATCTGCTGTGTGTTTCTCTGTCTTCTCATTTTGCTTAACTTCCTGTGTTTGGGGTCTCCTTTTTGCAGGCTGCAGGTTCACAGTTCCTGTTGTTTCTGGTGTCTGCCCCCAGTGGCTAAGGTTGGTTCAGTGGGTTGTGTAGGCTTCCTGGTGGAGGGGACTGGTGCCGGTGTTCTGGTGGATGATGCTGGGTCTTGTCTTTCTGGTGGGCAGGGCCACGTCTGGTGGTGTGTTTTGGGGTGCCTATGTACTTATTACGATTTTAGGCAGCCTCTCTGCTAATGGGTGGCATTGTGTTCTTGTCTTGCTAGTTGTTTGGCATAGGGTGTCCAGCACTGTAGCTTGCTGGTCGTTGAGAGGAGCTGGGTCTTAGCATTGAGTTAGAGATCTCTAGGAGATCTTTCGCCATTTGATATTATGTGGGGCCAGGAGGTCTCTGGTGGACCAATGTCCTGAACTCGGCTCTCCCACCTCAGAGGCTCTGGCCTGACACCTGGCTGGAGCACCAAGGCTCTGTCAGCCACATGGCTCAGAAGAAAAGGGAGAAAGAAAAAAGAAAGAAAAAAAGTAATTAAAATAAAATAAAAATAAAAAATGAAAAAGTAATGAAAAAGAAAAGAAAGAAGAGAGGAACCAAACAAAAAAACAAATCCACCAAGGATAAGAAGTGTGAAAAACTATATAAAACCAAAACAAAAGAATAGGCAGACAGAACCTTAGGACAAATGGTAAAAGCAAAGCTATACAGACAAAATCACTCAAAGAAGCATACACATGCACACTCACAAAAAGAGAAAAAGGAGAAAAAATATTTATATATATAAAAAAGAAAAGGGAAGAGAGCAACCAAATCAATAAAGAAATCTACCAATGATAATAAGCTCTAAATACTAAACTAAGATAAACATAAAACCAGAAACAAATTTGGTACAGAAAGCAAACCCCAAGTCTACTGTTGCTCCCAAATTCCACCGCCTCAATTTTGGGATCATTTGTTGTCTATTCAGGTGTTTCACAGAGGCAGGGTACATCAAGTTGATTGTGGAGATTTAATCCGCTGCTCCTGAGGCTGCTGGGAGAGATTTCCTTTTCTCTTCTTTGTTCACACAGCTCCTGGGGTTCAGCTTTGGATGTGGCCCCACCTCTGCGTGTAGGTTGCATTAGGGGGCTCTAGCTCAGGCCGGGGGGAGGGAGGGGAATGGAATGCGGGGCAAGCCTGCAGCAGCAGAGGCCAACATTATGTTGCACCAGCCTGAGGCGCGCTGTGTGTTCTCCCGGGGAAGTTGTCCCTGGATCCTGGGACCCTGGCAGTGGCGGGCTGCACAGGCTCCCGGGAGGGGAGATGTGGATAGTGACCTGTGCTTGCACACAGGCTTCTTGGTGGCTGCAGCAGCAGCCTTAGTGTTTCATGCCCGTCTCTGGTGTCAACGCTGATAGCCGCGGCTCACACCCATCTCTGGAGCTCATTTAGGTGGTAGTCTGAATCCCTTCTCCTTGCGCACCCCGAAACAATGGTCTCTTACCTCTTAGGCAGGTCCAGACTTTTTCCCGGACTCCCTCCCGGCTAGCTGTGGCACACTAGCCCCCTTAAGGCTGTGTCCACACAGCCAACCCCAGTCCTCTCCCTGGGATCTGACCTCTGAAGCCCGAGCCTGAGCTCCCAGCCCCCGCCCTCGGGCTGGTGAGTGCCGGTCGGCACCGATCTTTTGTGCGGGAATCTCTCCGCTTTGCCCTCCGCACCCCTGTAGCTGCGCTCTCCTCCGTGTCTCCGAAGCTTCCCCCGCTCCGCCACCCGCAGTCTCCGCCTGCGAAGGGGCTTCCTAGTGTGTGGAAAGCTTTCCTCCTTCACAGCTCCCTCCCACTGGTGCAGGTCCCATGCCTATTCTTTTGTCTCTGTTTTTTCTTTTTTCTTTTGCCCTACCCAGGTACGTGGGGAGTTTCTTGCCTTTTGGGAAGTCTGAGGTCTTCTGCCAGCGTTCAGTAGGTGTTCTGTAGGAGTTGTTCCACATGTAGATGTATTTGTGGGGAGGAAGGTGATCTCCACGTCTTACTTCTCTGCCATTTTGAAGATCCCCTCTCATGCACCTGGTTCTTAATGCCCTCTCTGTAGACAACATCCAGGTGCAGGCTGTCTTGGGGGGTTGCATCGCTGAGTTCTTTTGGGGGGGCTGTGGGCCGTCCTCAATGCACAGCTCTCTGATATTGGAGACGTGGCTGTGTCTGATGTCTTCTCCCATCAGCCCTGCCCAGGCCGCCCACCTCACAGCCCCACCTGTTCAGGTCTCCAGTGTGGATCTCCACTCCTAATATAGTCTCCTCCTTGTGTCACAGGGGAGGCAAGGGCTGGGGCAGGAATAGCCTCTCTCTGTGGTCACTCTATGCCCTCCAAAGGCTGAGGACCGCACACCTCTCATTCATTTCTCCTCCACCACAGGGGACTTTCTGAACTGAGAACCTGGGGGAATTGATCACCTTTTCCCCACAGCTTTGGATTTCAACAGTGATACCAAGAAAAAGGGTAGAGTCCCACGGTACCTCTTACTTCCTGTTCTGTGGGGCAGGGATGAGGAGGACTTCTAATGCGCCTGGCTGGCTTCTCAGGAAACTCAGGCAAGGCACACAGTGCATGACCTCCATGGTTGTAAATTCGAATGACATTCAAATGAAAATGCATGGACAGCATTTCTGAGTTGCAGGTCAGGAGTGTGGAAGCAGACCCTAAACGTGGGCACAGGGATTGAGAAAGCCCTCCAGATCAGCCCCAGCACACTTATCCTGCACTTTCTCAACACTTGCACACCCAGTCTGGATGAGATCGGTTTACATTTGCTGTTTCCTATGCCATTTCTCAGGGACCCAGCACAGTGGGTGAGAGCCCTGCCACTCGATTCCCACTGCTTGGCTTCAAATCACTACTCTTACTTTACTAGCTGTGGACCTGGACAGAGTCGCTGAACATTTCTAAGCTTTGGGGTCCTCATCTGTAAAATGGGAATATTAATACTGTCTGCCTCATAGGCTTGGGGGGACTGAAAAAAGACAATGCGTGTGTGTCTTAGTCTGTTAGGCTGTTATAATAGAATACCGTAGACTGGGTGGCTTACAAACAACAGAAATGTATTTCTCACAGTTCTGGAGTCTTGAAATCCAAGATCAAAGTGTTGGCAGATTAGGTGTTTGCTGAGGGCTCTCTTACTGGTTCATAGGTGGCCATTTCTTGCTGTCCTCACATGGTGGGAGGGGTGAGGGAGCTCTCTGGGGTCTCTTTTAAGTGCACTAATCCCGTTCATGAGGGCTCCGCCATCATGATCTAATCACCTCCCAAAGGCCCACCCTCCTAATACTATCACACTGGGGGTTGGGATTTAGCATCTGAATTGGGGAGGAAGCAAATATTCAGTAGCAATGTGTCTTATGTGGAGTCTGTACAAATTAAGAACTTCATTCCTCCCCCAACTGAAAAACAATTTGCTCTCAATGAATAATTTAACATGTGAATTTAAATCACTGCCTTCTCTAATTGCAGAATGAAAACTTATTTATTGGTGTAGAGGAAACTGGTCACCAGTGGAGGAAAGAGGCCACTTGGAGAGGTGTGTCAGTTACCCTCAGAAGCTCCTCACCCTGGCAACCTGTCTACCTCTCCCTTCAACGCACAAAGTGGGCCCTCCACCCATGACCTCTGCCCGATCACATGGACACAAGATGGAAGAGGGATGCAAAAGGAGATCTGGTGCTTGAAGATGCCTGGTCTAGAGCTATATTACAAAATTCAAATCTAGCCTGATTCCGGTGATTTAATAGTAACAAGAAGGAAATATTTTTAAAAGCTCTGCATTGTGTTAGACCTAGATAATAGTGGAAGCACTTTTAATTTTGTTTAAAGGTACTATAAACTTCTTCAGAAGGGAAGTCAAATTATAATTGCCCATTGCAAAAATGAAGACTGCTGGGATTTTATGTTTTGAAAAACCCAAAGAGGCAGGAGAAGAATTTTAAAATGTTCATTTTGAGTTACATCTCAAATTTATGTCATAAATATAATTAATCAACTGAGTACCTCCTACTCATACCACTTTATGACATTCCACAATTTTCTTAAACAAGTTTCACACTTAGACATCTATACAAATAGCCGGCTATCATTTAGATGAGTGAAGGTTATCTCTGTAACATGAAAATAACACACGAAAGGGAATCTGGCACCTAAATACAGAGCAGAGGTGGTTATGGCTTGTCTGTCTTGGCACTTTCACCCCTGTTAATCCCAACTAACCAAAAGCTCTTTCCTTAGTTCAAACCTTGAATATTCAGTTTTCTTATCATTTTACAGAGAACATCTTAATTTTAAAAGTACTTCTGGGTCCTAGGTAATGGTTCCATCATTTTCTTTTAGTAAGAACTGATTTTCTTATTTGCAAATGAAGCAACTTCAAAAAAGGATTAATCTCCGGAATTTACAAGCATCTCATGCATCTCAATACCAAAAAAACAAACAACCCAATCCAAAAATGGGCAGAAGACCTAAATAGACATTTCTCCAAAGAAGATATACAGACTGCCAACAAACACATGAAAGAATGCTCAACATCATTAATCATTAGAGAAATGCAAATCAAAACTACAGTGAGGTATCACTTCACACCGGTCAGAATGGCCATCATCAAAAAACCTACAAACAATAAATGCTGGAGAGGGTGTGGAGAAAGTAATTCAACAAGAGTCATGTACCAAAATGTTCATCGCAGCTCTATTTACAATAGCCAGGACATGGAAGCAACCTAAGTGTCCATCGACAGATGAATGGATAAAGAAGATGTGGCACGTATATACAATGGAATATTAACCATTAAAAAGGAATGAAATTGAGTTATTTGTAGTGAGGTGGTTGGACCTAGAGACTGTCATACAGAGTGAAGTAAGTCAGAAAGAGAAAAACAAATACCGTATGCTAACATATATATGGAGTCTAAAGAAAAAAAAGGTTCTGAAGAACCTAGGGGCAGGACAGGAATAAAGACGCAAACGTAGAGAATGGACTTGAGGACACGGGGAAGGGGAAGGGTAAGCTGGGACGAAGTGAGAGAGTGGCCTGGACATATATACACTACCAAATGTAAACTAGATAGCTAGTGGGAAGTAGCCACATAGCACGGGGATCAGCTCGGTGCTTTGTGTCCACCTAGAGGGGTGGGATAGAGAGAGTGGGAGGGAGAAGCAAGAGGGAGGAGATATGGGGATATATGAATACATATAGCTGATGCTGATTCACTTTGTTATACAGCAGAAACTAACACACCATTGTAAAGCAATTATAATCCAATAAAGATGTTAAAAAAAAAAACCCTGGTTTTCTTACTTAAAAATCAGGGAGAGAGAAGTTCTCATTTATTGCATCTGCCTTGGCCTAGTTTCATCTCAGCAGGCCATAGCAAGCTCTCAACGACCAGCAGGCGGCCTGACTCTGTTCTAGAATCTGGGAGAAGTCATCAGGTCAGGCTGTCAAGGATTTTGGTTGCTTTTCAACTAAGCGCTAGAGTCTCAGATGCCTCAGTAACAAGACGAACAGTGCCTCCTGAATCCCCAGTCCTCTGTGGTATATCCATATGCCCACCTGCCTGCATTGCTTGGGGTAGCAGGCTTCTCTGTCATCTTTGTTCTACCAGAGGGCAGGGAATTAGAAATCATGCCCCAGTCTGTTGCCTGGGGTCTGTCTCCCCTGCCACCCCATACCTCATCTTACCAGCTCCATCTTAGCAATGCCTGGCTCTTTTTTTATTTTTTTAACTTTATTTTTGGCTGCTTTGGGTCTTCCTTGCTGTGTACGGGCTTTCTCTAGTTGTGGCGAGCGGGGGCTACTCTTCGTTGCAGTGCATGGGCTTCTCAGTGCAGTGGCTTCTCTTGTTGCGGAGCACGGACTCTAGGTGCACAGGCTTCAGTAGTTGTGGCTCACGGGTTCTAGAGCACAGGCTCAGTAGTTGTGGCGCACGGGCTTAGTTGCTCTGCGGCATGTGGGATCTTCCCGGACCAGGGCTCGAACCAGTGTCCCCTGCATTGACAGGTGGATTCTTAACCACTGTGCCACCAGGGAAGTCCCCCTGGCTCTTACTTGCCTATTCTTACTTGCTTTTGTTTCTCTTCTCCTTGAAATGACTTGGCTTGATCCTGAGTTGCCCCTACCCCACTCATGTGTCTGCTTATTTTCTCTGAAGCCATACCCCGTTACCATGATATGGTTAATTATCAGTGTCTGGCCTGGAAGGGGACAGGTTTGCCAAATGGACAGTGTTAATAATTATCACATATTTCATGTATGGAGCATTCTTGTACTCCCTCTTTGTACACACACACACACACACACACACACACACATTTAATTTTAAATATAATACATTATAAATATATGAAAAAAATAATAAGCATAATTGCTTTTTGAATATTTTGTATCTGTTTAATTTCCTTCATCTTTAGTAGTTTTTTCAGTTTTTTTTCAATTTGGGTCTGAAGTGGTAAACTCAGTCCTTATTTGTTTGAAATAGCTTCACTGGGATATACTAGCCTGGCTGAAATTAGTATTAGTATAGATTGATGAGTATTCTCTCAGTACTTAAAAGATATTTTCCTATGGTCTTCTGCCCTTCACTAATGCTATTGTTGAAGTGTACCAGTTTAATTATTATTATTATTATTATTTGCGGTACGCAGGTCTTTAACTGTTGTGGCCTCTCCCGTTGCGGAGCACAGGCTCCGGACGCGCAGGGTCAGCGGCCATAGCTCACGGGCCCTGCCGCTCTGCGGCATGTGGGATCTTCCTGGACCGGGGCACGAACCCGTGTCCCGTGCATCGGCAGGCGGACTCTCAACCACTGCGCCACCAGGGAAGCCCTAATTAATATTATTTTGTAGGAAATCTGTTATTGTGAAGTCTGTACCAGTCTAATTGTTATTATTTTGTTGAAAGTTTGCCCTTTATCTCTAGCTGCTTGTAAGATTTTCTTGGGCGTTCTTTACTTTTGCTATGATGTGTCTAGGTTTAGATTTACTTATTTTCCTCATACTCATGGTTCCTAAATCTGAGAAGCTATGCCTTCATCAATTCTGGAATTCTCAGCCATTATTTCTTATAATTTTTTCAAATATTACCTTTCTCATTTACCTTCTTCTGGAAAGTTTATTAGATATAGGTGAACATTATTGTTCTATCCTCAGCTCTTTTAAATACTCTTTCACATTTTTACATCCTTTTATCTATTTGTGCCTTGTCTGTGGAATTTCTTCAGGTTCATCTTCCAGTTCATTATTTCTCTGTACAGCTTTGTCTAGCACTATTTTACTAAACCTGTCTTAAGTTTTTTAAACATTATTTCAATGGTTGAACTTTAAAAAAATCTTCATTGAGATATAGTTCACATACCATACAATTCACCCAATTAAATTATACAATTCAGTGATTTTTGTTATAAATGGCTGAATTTTTAATGTCTAGGAATTCCATTTGTTTATTTTAAAAATGTGCCTCTGCTTTAAAAAATATATAATGCCTTGTTTCTTATGATTACACTTCATTTATTTTGGGTTCTTATTTTAAGCACATTTATTTATGGTCTCTATTATATTGTCCTATTGTCTGAAGCTCTTATGAGTATTCTATATGTTTGCTGACTCTCACTCAAGGTAGGTTTGTTCCTCATTTGCTTTTTAATTTTAAACTTATGTTCAGTGGACATTTATCTATTGGAATCATCCACAATGTGGGATAAAACTGTGTCCTTCTGCAATGATTTTTCATTCACTTCTGTCAGGGGCTCTAGGGATATTACCAGCTTGTAATAGATTTCTATGCCAATTCATCAGCTTGGGGTTTTCTGGGGTATGCTGATAGTGTAAATTTTAACTTTAAAGCTATGTGAGGGGGCTTCCCTGGTGGCGCAGTGGTTGAGAATCTGCCTGCTAATGCAGGCAACATGGGTTCGAGCCCTGGTCTGGGAAGATCCCACATGCCGCGGAGCAACTGGGCCCATAAGCCACAATTACTGAGCCTGCGTGTCTGGAGCTTGTGCTCCGCAACAAGACAGGCCACAATAGTGAGAGGCCCACGCACCGTGATGAAGAGTGGCCCCCACTTGCCACAACTAGAGAAAGCCCTCGCGCAGAAACGAAGACCCAACACAGCCAAAAATAAATAATTAAAAAAAAAAAAAAAAAAAAAAAAGCTATGTGAGGTATGGGGCTGTGATCATAAGTTCCCAGGGGATTTTTTTTCCCCCCACACAGCTTGCAAGGTGGTGTCTTTTTTTTCTCCCTGTATTTATGGGTAGATTTTTTCCTAGTCTACACTGTCACTAAGAGTATAGTCCTTTGATGATCCTGGCTTCATGTGGGCTTCTAAGCGTCATTTCCTTACTTTGATTAGGTTGATGGTCTCATCTCACAGTGTCCCCAAATGAGCATTAAAACCCAAGCCCTGGGCTTCCCTGGTGGCACAGTGGTTGAGAGTCTGCCTGCCGATGCAGGGTACACGGGTTCATGCCCCGGTCCGGGAAGATCCCACATGCCACGGAGCGGCTAGGCCTGTGAGCCATGGCCACTGAGGCTGTGCGTCCGGAGCCTGTGCTCCGCAATGGGAGAGGCCACAACAGTGAGAGGGCCGCGTACCGCAAAAACCAAACCAAAACAAAAAAAACCCCAAGCCTTGCATATTTCCATCAGGAGACATATACAGGAGTGTTCATAGCAGCTTCATTTATCAAGTTTCAAACTGGAAACAACCCAAATGCCCATCAACAGTAGAAATGCTAAATAAATAGTGGATTTTTTTTTACCATGGAATACTACACAGTAATGAAAAGAGCAAATTGCTGATACATGTGATAACATGGATGAATGAAGTAGACATACTATTGAATTTAAAAAACTAGACAAAAAACGAATAGCCAATGTACAATTCCATTCTTCAAAAGTCCAGTACAGGCAAAGCTCATCTTTGGTGATGAGTCAGAATAGTGGTTACACTTGAGGGGAGATACTGATGAGGGGTTATGAAGGAGCCTTTTGTGGAAACATTCTAGATCCTGATCTGGGTGGTGGTTACATGGTGGTACACATATGTAAAAATTCATTAAGCGTTGCACTTAAGAATTGCACATTTCACTATATGCTGATTATACCTCAATAAAAGAGTAAACAAACAAAAGCTAAGACCCTCCAGAGCAGTCATAAGGTAGCTAACATGTTTGCCTCTCTGCTTTGGAGTTCCTTTGTATTTCTGGGCCATGGAGATTAACCTTTCTTTTTTTGTGAGTTCAGCTGAGAAGGTAAAAGAATATTTGTGATATGTTTCCCAGAATCCCTGCTGTTTCTTTGAGGCTGGCTCACAAGAGTCCATCATATTGCAGATCAAGAAGTCTTAGGTCTCCTTCTGTCTTAAATCACTTTTGCATGCATGTAGCAGGTGCATCCAGCGTAATATGACATATTTTTAGCATAGTTGTTTCTCTACCTAAGTGTTCAT